CAAAAGACAAAAAAGCAGTCACTACATTGTGCACATTAGGACAGTAAGAAGCTGACAGCTGAGTTAGAACAGAAAGACATGCAGGCCATAATCACTCGACGCTCAAAAGAGGAATGTGTGTGTAGGCTTACATGAACTGAATTGAAACACTGTCCATTAGTTGATTAATAAACAAGACATTCAAGTCAAAGTTTTAGGCATTTTCATTTGTAGCACGCTGTAAATATGGACTATGAATGAACACATGCAATGTGGAAACACACAAATAGGTTTATTCTCAATACTCATAACAGTATCAATCAGACACAATGACTTTACTGAGAGTGAAGATGACATGAACATAGTTACTGTATGGTACTGAAGACAACATACAGTATATTGCATTTACCTCTTCCTCTAACTCTCTCTCCAAAAGTGGCCTCCATTGTTGTGCACAACAAAGTGTTCAAGCTCAGGTTTCTAAGTGATCTAATTGGTTACATGGCTTTGAACATGTGCATTCTGGGTGCAGGGGCTTGATAATTGAGTGTGGTATTTCAGTGGCAGTGTTTTGCAAACAACACACAGGCTGTCGGTTTTGAATAACGTGTCAAATGTAAATAAGAGTGTGTAATTATTTGGTCAATCCAGTGTCCAGCTTGTCGCTGTCTGACAACGTCATGTTTGTTGTGATATACCTACAAGATTTACCTGTGACAAATGTCAGCGATGTAAACAGAAATGTCGACCTACTTTCACCTGCACTCAGCAGCAAGCGGGAGAAATGTTTCAAGTTGTACTTGTGAAGTTACGTCTACAATTAGGAGGGTGAGTAATTAAGCTTTTATTTCTGTAACGTTAAACTTATTGTTTTTCTTCAACAAGTTTGACTACATTGAAAGACAGAGGAGGGACAGTATGTGCATTCTTAATGAACATACTTTGTATTTTAGTGTCAGGGTGTTATGCTACAGGTCCATGAGGACAGGCCCCATAGTGAGGTCAGGATGAAGTGTTACTGTCTTAGTTACCGTCTGGCTCAACATGTTCCTGGGGATTTGGCTCATTTCAGACAGGTTAGACACATCCAATAGTAAAACATTAACTTTAATATAACTAGCACAAGGGTACTAGCTACTCCCCAGAAATGGACTGACTGGTCTGTGTGTGCTGCACAGAGGTCACAGTTGTGTTTTGTTCCTGTTCTGTTGTTAAAGAGTCATTTTTCTTCGTTCATAGTATCAAAGTAAATCAATTCATATCAGTATGTATAAGAAGTTGTAAGTATAGAAAACATTTAGGAAAAAATATATGACTTATTTACTCCTTAAAATAGCACAATGTTATTAAACCAAAATGTTACCCTAAAAGAAATAATACAAAGCAAACTGAATACGTATTTATTTTGTTTCTCTTCTTACAGGTGGGGCTGAAAGACTCGACCCCCATTGAGCTGGAGCATCATGGCTGCAGGTGTGACGTGTGTTACTCTCCTGCTCCAGTCACATGACTCCCAGTGGGTCCCCAGTACTCAGCTGTACAGAGCAGAGCAGCAGTGGTACAAACCAAGAACTATGGCAAGTCTGAGAATAATGTCATTGTAATTCAAATACTAAAACTACACACGGGATAGTTCTGGTCTTTTGAAGTGGGGTAGTGTGTGGTATATATCCATAATCAGTGTACTACCTGCAGTAGTCGTGTGGAGAAACATACAGGAGCCCCGGCACAGCAGAGCCATGTACTGCTGAGGACGTGGGCAAAAGCAACATGTCTTTTCTCCACCAAAAAAGCTATATCAGTTTAAGTGTACATTATTTAATGCTAAAAATAGCGATTTTTTTCAGGTGGGCCTTCATTTTTGGGTGGATAAAATAGGTTTTGCTGCTGTGTTTTTAGAAAAATGTGATTATTTGTGGCCTATTACAGCTTTGTGCAATTACCAAGACACAAACTGGTACTTTTGGCACAATTATTAAACTCAAGTTGCCTTTCATCTATTGAACAGATATGGGTTAGCCCTACTAACCCTGCACCCAGAATGCACATGTGAAAATGATATCACTTAGAAACCTGAGCTTGAACACTTTGTTGTGCACAACAATGGAGGCCAATATTGGAGAGAGAGTTAGAGGAAGAGGTAAATGCAATATACTGTATGTTGTCTTCAGTACCATACAGTAACTATGTTCATGTCATCTTCACTCTTAGTAAAGTCATTGTGTCTGATACGGTTATGAGTATTGAGAATAAACCTATTTGTGTGTTTCCACATTGCATGTGTTCATTCATAGTCCATATTTACAGCGTGCTACAAATGAAAATGCCTAAAACTTTGACTTGAATGTCTTGTTTATTAATCAACTAATGGACAGTGTTTCAATTCAGTTCATGTAAGCCTTACACACACATTCCTCTTTTGAGCGTCTAGTGATTATGGCCTGCATGTCTTTCTGTTCTAATTCAGCTGTCAGCTTCTTAGCAGTTTAGACAAACATCAAATTCATAATGTAGAGACTACTTGGACAAAATAATGCTTAACAACTGTTCCATTACTGTGTGAACTGTATGATATATTGTTCTCCCGCTTGCTGCTGGGTGCAGGTGAAAGTAGGGCGACAGTTCTGTTCACATCGCTGACATTTGTCACAGGTAAATCTTGCAGGTATGCAACAAACATGACGTTGTCACACAGCGACAAGATGGACACTGGATTTGTCAACACAGTACAAACCGGAAGTCAAGGAATACAATTATGCACAGAGCTTGCATACTTGTATTAATCTCTATAAACGCATATCTGCATGTGAATGCAGAAATAAACGTATCCTCGTCAGCATGGGTGCCGGAAGCAGGGGGGCCAAGGGTCGTCAGACTTCTGGGTCTTTTACAGCATTGCCATTATAGCCTCGTGTCTTTTATTTTGAAATATGTTCTTTAACTTCCGGTCAAGCGGACTGCTTTTCTTCATTCTTCAATACAAAACGGAACATTGAATGAAGTTGTTATCAAAAACCAAAATCAGACCGTTTTTATCTTGTTATCCGTTTTTGATTCAGACAACATCAACAGGAAACGACTTTGGTTTCACGTTTTTTCATTTAAAACGAAAAAAGGCTGGTATTTTCATTGTTCTCATTTTTTGGTTCAAACGAAAAATCAAACTAACAAAACGTACACTTACCTTTGTTTAATTAGGTTTTCTCGTTATCGGTCTTTTTATTCAGACAACAACAACGGAAAAACGGCTTTGGTTTCCCGTTTTTTCGTTTTAAATAAAAAACGGAAAAAGGCTGGTATTTCCGTTGTTTGGCTTTTGTTTAAAACGAAAAATCAAACTGACAAAAAGTACACGGACCATTATGAGACTGTTCTGAGCCCATACATTTAAAACAAGGCCTGCTCCATCATACTACACACACTGACAGTTGTCACACATTCATGGGATTGTGTTGTTTACACACCACACAAGCATCTGCAATATCTATCTGTTATATCATAAATATACTCTATTGCAACAATGATGTTTTCTTATACTTTTCCACAATATATTGAAATGGGTTCTATGATTATAATAAGATTTTTCGAAAACACACTGACTGTTACCTCCCGTAGCCTACCAGTTATTGTTGTTCTTATCCGATCTGTGTGTGTGTAGAAACTCAAACTGCCATTGTTCTTGTTATTAATAGTGTTTTCTGACAAATTGCTGTTGTTGTTTTTGACTCTGTTTACAGTTTACTGGAAGACTCTGGAGGCATCTGGTTATAACTGAATAAAGATTTGTTGGTAGCTGTTTGGTATCCACTGTCACTGTGTCTTCTCTCTTCTCTGCTGAGTTCAAAGAGCGCTTTGCTCCTTAACATTATGCGAAACAATTCTCTCAAAAGTAAAAAAAGTGCATATGCAATATTACTTTTAAAGTACAATATCAGATTTCTTGTGATTTACCTTTTGTCTGTTCATTTAAAATAATATAATTTAAGTATTGTCTCAATGTAGTTCTGGATGAAAAGGGAGATATTTCCCAATATTTAACAAATATTGAACTCGAAGATAATGATAATGGGTAAATTGTCATTGGCTTAGTTTGTTTCCTGTTTTACTTTTTCCTCTCGTTATATGTCAGGTCTTGTTTTACTTCCTGCCTTTTGACCTTTCTACCGCCTTTGTGATTGCGTGCCCCGCCCTGATGAGTTTCAGCTCACCTGCCCCACTCACCCTCCTGTCCCAGTATATTTAGCAGGTGTGTTTCCTCTGTTTCATTTTGTGGTCAAAAGTGTTCCTCTTCATCTTTCGAGCCAGCTGTAACTATTTTTGCCTTTATCTGAGGGTAGTACATACATTATTATTTTCCTTATTCCTTCCTGTTGCCTTTGCATGTGGGTCCACCTGCCTCCATAACCAGGATATGAGGTATTTTATAATTGTTTACTTGACAGATTAAATATTACTTGTTTAATAAGGACATACTTCAGCAACCCACTGGACAACCAGTAATTTACTGTTTTTGTAAGCCACTCTAAATAAGACATTTTCCCTACTCACTTTTCTTTTACAACACGCTGATATAAGTCGTTAAAACCCCTGAATGTTTCTTAATTAACGTGTTAATGACTTATTGAGCAACAACCAAAGGTGAAGTTTATCAAATATCTACTAAATATAATATTGAGCAGTTATTATGACTGAGTCAGTACAGCAGCAGGGAGTCAATCTGGTGTGGTTTTGGATGGAGAAAGATAAAGGCATCTGGGGTTGTCTTTGTTCTTGGCTGCCCTCTTGTGTTCAAATGTGGCTCTGCAGCTGTAGAGGTTTGTTTTGTCCTCAAAGGCATACAGTCACATGTTTGGACCTTCTGTGAATTAATTCTGATGTGTTTCCTGATAGTAGACACACTGATTTGTTAAAAAGAATGTCACATCCTTCAAAAAGCAGTGGCATGTTGCATTTGAGGAACTTCCCATGCATGTGAATAAATCCCCATTTCACCTTTATTGTTACAAAGACTCAGAACAAGGTTTCTTCAGAGGTATTTTTTAATTAGAGTGCATGTTTTCACTCCATGGTTCCAATTAAAGAACAAACAAATCGTGTGTGTCACTGTTTGCATGACTAAATGCAAATAAAACCCTCATGCCTAAGATACAAGGCTGTAACTAAATCTCTCAGGGAACCAGGTCATGGCTAGAACGTGATGTTACATGAGGATAGGAGATACTGTACTGTTAAAAATCCATGACTGTCAACTCAGAATAGCAAACACATTTTTGTGATGGTTGGCGAAAACAAGATCTTAACAGCAGAAAGCCCGTATTTGGCGTTTTCCTGGGACACTGATCTAGTTTCTTATGCCAACTGCTACACTAATGATTAAATGGGAGAGTTGATTCACATTCATGTTTTGCGATTGAACACCAGCAGGGGAAGATTTGTACCAGGCTGGTCCTGCCCATCGTAACAGGAGAAGTGTTAGAAATGTTTGTGTCCTCAATCTGTATATCAGAGGAAACCTTGGCTTACCTTCATCAAAAGCCTTGTGCATATTAAAAAACTATTTTGAGTGTAACTATTTAGTGAAATAGATTATAATATTTAATCATCTAAAGCAGCATGAGATTTAAAGCCAACTCAAGAAAAGTGTTATGTGATTAAGGCTACTGCTGATATAACCATATTGAAACACTTAGAAAAGGTGTTTTGGTCTGTTTGAAAGCAGCTTTTTTTTTTTTAATACTGTTTTTAATCCTGTATAGTTTTAATGAACCAAAGGATTGGAGAAATTAAGACATAGTGATGGTGCAAGAACTAAAAGTTAAGGGATCCCCAAAAGGGAATGAATGACTTAGTAAAAGATTTTATGACATTCCTCCAATCATTAAGATATTTCAGTGTTGGACTAACCAAACAGCCTGCTACCATTTATAGAGCCATTCTGCTACCATGGCTAAAATAACAATGTCAAACTTGAACACTAAGGGAAATTTAGTTCAATACTTCTATAAAAGTAAACACTAAAACTGCCACGGGAGTCTCTGCCTTGCTTATCGACAGAAAGGGGAGAGACTAGGTGTTGCCTCCCAGGCAGAAACAATGGACTAGTGTTTAAATATTGACTCTGGCTCTGAAAGAGACACATTTATTTCACTCTCACCTTGGGTCAAGGCTGAACCTCGACTGTGTTTGCTCTGCTGCTGTTTTCCTGTAACTATATGAGCGTGGAGCCCATTTTCTGACTGACTCTTAACAATGGAAAAAGGAAAGGTTTTTATTCTGAAGTGTGTTTTGAAATACCAGCTTTGTAGTTGGTGGCTGCAGTTGTGACACACAGTATTGTTGGCTCAGTACTGTGGGGTAAAGTATACAAAAGGTACCTATATGACACTAGTGTTAGACTAATTTAGGACTGTGCGTTGTCCTAATTTTAACAAAGAAAACGGAAATGATCTAGGCCCCAAAATGGTAACCCATGGTAAACCAAAAACAGCCACAAAATGGAGTTAGACAAAACAAGTGCTTATAATAATGTATTTTTTGGTATAAATCTTTCTCTTGTCAATGTTGTAATATTTCTATATTTGTTTTGTTTTGTTACACTCAAAAACATGTTAAACAGTGTTAATTTGACAAAGAAAAACAAACATGTTTGGCATCTGAGTGTTGCTGGTAAGACAAAGGCAGATAAATAGGGAGAAAAGGAGAGGTCCTACAGCAGGGAGTATTTCTCCCACAGCGAGCCAGAGTAGACTCAAATACGTCTGGTCGACACGAGAACCCATGCCTGCACCCATCCCATGCTTTCAGTTTCCACACAAGATAACAAGAGAGCGCACGTGTCAAACAAAGAGACCAGACAATTAGATCACAGGCTGTGGTAAGTCACTTGTTTCCAATAAAAGGGAGACTGGCACACAAAGGGTTTAGGGGGCGAGTGTTGGCGGTCCAGGGGTGATGGGGTCAAGTGAGGAGGGGCGGCTGGGAGGTCAGGCAGGTCTCAGTTCATTGGAGTCTCCTGGGGGGGCGAGCCTTCAGGCACACCGGACAAAGTCTCATTGGAGGGGCCCGCCTGTTCGCCTTGGCTACTGGAGGAGGCTGGGGGACTGATCGTAGCCTGAGGAAGAAAGACAAGGAAGAATTATTCAGTAACTCAAAGTAATACATACATACAAACAAATTAAATTCTTTAAAACACAAGGTTCACTAAGCAGCCTTATCTGGGGGCTAAGATTTAAATACATCGATTTAAATAAAAATAATAACATCATCCTTTTACAATCATGTAGTTTAATAGACTGAGGTATTCTGCTGCCAGTGTCATTTGGGGGTCTAAAACAGTAGCTTAAAGTGGCTAACGCTAGCTAAATATTGCTGTATAAGTGTTTCAGTTTGCTGGATTCCACTTTGGGATTATTAGATAAAGCTATTCATAGATTTACTACATACTAATTGAAATGGTTATGTTTTCAGTTAATATACAAAGCATCTGACCATGTCTATAAGAATTCATTAAGCTGCTAAAAGGCAACACACATTTCCACACAAATATAATGAAACTAAATGAGTGAAATGTCCTGTTTACACTCCCGTGAAATACTATAAGTCCTTATAGTCATTAGTTCAGCTGCCAACGTTTTGTAAGGCGTGTCTGAAAAAAAGAAAATGTCACCTTCAAAGTCTCCACTTTCTCCTCAAAGGACTTTAAGGTTGGTGCTGCATTCCTGTCAAATAAAACACAAAAAAACACAAAATCTACAGTATTTGAATAAATCTGAGATGCTTATATACTCAATCAATACAATTTCAGCAAAATATGAACAAGTCACCTCTTCAGAAGGAAGAAGGAGCAGGATAACACACCTTTAGAGGTCATGTCATCTGATACTCAATACAGACAATGTAGGATTTTAAAGTGACCCATTTCTGCTTTATTCTGTTCTCCAGAAAGATGCCAAGAGGTGTTGATTTCCATGAAAACACAACCATGAGAGTCAAGAATGAACAGGATGGGAGGAGCTAACAGTCAACATAAATATCGATTTGTAGCATTCGAAATGTTGTTTCATACAACTTTAATAAATCTAGGCAGACCTTAGAGGGAGAGCTGCAGAAACATGATGGATGCTAATGTTCTGTGATATTTTTGAGGTCAGAATGGTTTGCATGATTGCATTACTTTGTTTTTATCTTGTATAGTGCTGAAATGAATTATACATTAGCCTATCAATAGTCAATCAGCTACTATATGGATAACTGAGTAGGTTCAGTTTTTATAACCTCTCAAATATCAACATGTTTAGTCTTCTTTGACAGAAAACTAAATGTATTTGTTGGTCAGACAAAACAAACTATTTGAAGACAGCCCTTAAATAGTTTGAAATACATTTTATAGACTAAATTCATTATTTAATCAATTGCTCAGGTAATAATCCGTAAATTAATTGAATATGAAAAGGATGTACACTCTAATCTGACACATTTAGACCTACACTTCATCAAATTCACTCATATCTGGAATTTTGAGTTCAACATTTAGTCAGAAAGGAATATATAGTACCCTGGACCGAGCGTCTTCCTGAATGCGGACGTCTAAACAAGCAGCTAACGGATGCTGCCTTATCTCCATATTTTTGCAAGGCTGCTGTCAACTGGACGAAAGAGGTCTGTCAAGCTAAGATTATAAAAGCTGCAGCTAGATAGCTCATGGTAGATATTAGCATTGGTCGTCTTTGACAAACTCAACTTACATACTTAGGACCTTGTTATAAAATGGAAATACTGATCCAAAGCACACAGTGCAGCCTTTTCCTGGATCATATTTAATTCAACAGTTATAGTTCAGAGGGCTCCACTGTGTGCCTGTCACATCAACACAAACTTCCTCTTACCTCATGACAGGCATACTAGCCGAGTGTTGCAATGAGCGCATACTATCCGACAGCATAATGGAGAAGAAAGGGGACGTTAGTCTTGCATGTTCAAACACAACAGAACATTCATCTTCTATATGTTCAATCAGTGAGTATTCTAAGTGCATTAATCCTATAAATCCTGCTTTATCCCATTAAGATTGATTGTGTATTAACACAGTGGGTGTGTGCTAATCCTGCGTATTACGGGGGGATATCTTGTCGACAAACACACACACACTCTCCCTTACACACTCACACATCCCCCCTCTTTGACCCCTGTCAGGTCGATCCTCACTACCCACCCCCCAAAACGGTCTCTGTGTGGAGGCTCATCCGTGAGACTGCATTTCTCCGCACACTGCTGCTTTGAGGGGCTAATAATCTTATTTGCAGCTTAGTAATCCCCAGAGAAGGAGGATGACAGGGGAGAAAACGGATTAGGATTGGGGGGTGAAGGCTATATCTGGAGCTCTATCTCCAATGGAGCAATCTGTTGCTGTTTTTTTAAGCCTTGTTTTACCAGAAAATATCATGTTTATTGGTAGATATTGAAGAAGGTAGTTTGAAAGTAGGATTTAAGGACAGAAAGTGTATCTATTTAATCTATCCCCATACATTGGCTATGTACTGTATGCACAAACACACCTAATAACCTCTACATTTATACGTAGATATGACTATTTCAGGCTAGTCGGTCGAATTTGATTGATGACATTTTTTTATCCTTTCAAGAAAGAGAAAGGATAAAAAAAAATCTTAATAATGAAATGTTTCCACACAAATCATAATGTTTTGCAAATTATTTGGCGGCCCACTTGCAATGCACAGGTTGGGAACCGCTGGACTATAGGAAAGCAACTAAAGAAGACATTAGTATATTAAGGCTGATTCTAACAGTCCATATAACCAGCACTTTGAAGGGCGATTCATCAAAGATACTGCTGTCCCTCAGAGATATGGTGCTTTACACATTTTATTCCCTTTTATATTCTCACTGAAGTCTCCCGTCTGACTCACCTGACATCCTCCAGCTTCCGGGTGATGGCTGAGCCCATGTTGGAGAACGCCGCCGTGGCCTTCAGACCCGCCTGGGACAGAGTTTCAGAGGTCCTCTTATAGCTGAGAGAGAGGAGAGAATGGGAAGCAAAACGAGAAGATATGAAAGTGATTAGAAGAGACACAGAGATCAAAGACTGAAAAGAAGCGTCAAGATGTGAACTAAACCTCAATGTCTTCTTCATTTAACAAGGCTGAAAGCATCACAATGCTCCCCGTTTCCTCATTTAAAACCCATCAAACGGTTTCACATGTGCTACAGGCAGCTTGTCAAAAGCACTGACATCCTTTTTGTTATTGTTCAGAGGAGAAAGAGCCTCCTCTCAACAGCGCTGACGGATTAAAACCATGTATTCAAGGCATGCAGTGCGGAAATGTATAAAACATGATCAAAGAAGATGTATATGATGAAGAAATGCTGTATAATAGAGCTGTGTGTCATGAGGTCAGAGGACAAGCTACTACCAGAGCTATCTCATGAGAGATGTTATTGCCTATAATCTAAAAGGGAAGATGTGAAATGTATCTAGTGAAATATAGTGTGCTGTAAGGTCAGACGGCAGCATGCTGTGGTGGGTGGGCACTCACACGATGGAGGTGGTGACATCCTGCCAGGTTTTGGTGAAGTTCTGTTTCAGCTCGTTGAGAGGTGTGATGCCCAGCTGCCTCTTAATGTCCGCCAGCTGCTTCTCCTTAGCTGCCAGCACCTGGGACAGAGTCTGGATCTCATCTTCAACCTACACACACACACACACACACACACACACACACACACACACACACACACACACACACACACACACACACACACACACACACACACACACACACACACACACACACACACACACACACACACACACACACACACACACACACACACACACACACACACAAACAAAAGCTGCCATTATAATTGCTATCAGATCCCCCGCACGGAACCATGTGTCCTAAACACACACACACGCTTTTTTGAAGTTTAGATGTCCATGGTATGTTTAACCTTGACTATATTCGTTTAACCAAATAAAGAGAGTGAAGGTGAAATATTATCAACTGTTTATTTCCAAATAGAGACAATATGTTGAGATAAATAAGTAACTATTGGGATACACAATTAAAATTAAAACAAGATTTACATGAATTCAGCTTCCTCAATTTGTAAATATTCTGCTTTTTCATGTTTAACATTGTAGATTATTTGATTTGGAATGTTAGTCTAATAAAACATGACATTGTAAAATGTCAACTTGGTTACTGGGATTTGTTTTTTTTCTGACATTTCATGGATCAAATAATTGATTGATTGGCCAGGAAGCATCAAGTTAGTTTGTTTCCCAGTAAGTTGAAGCTGCTCAAAATGTGGCAGCTCTTTAAAAAAATAAAGGCACATACAGCTCAGGTTCTTTGATTTAAGAGAGTTTAACTTATGTACTCCATTTTTTCCGTCCTGTTGAATCACAGCAAACAAGATGCCACCATTACAAAAGAGCTGCTGGAAATACTGGCTGTCATGGGAATTACACATCAATCATCTGAAGCAAGGTAAGTGGCTTGAGCCACTCCAGGGAACTGAAATAAGCATCTTGTTGTTATGGAAAGCTGTGGTGAACATAATGGAGCCTGCTTTTAAAACTCCTCTCCACTATCTGGATCGGGTCCAACACCTGATCTTGACTCCGTGAACCAAGACTTCTGTAATCCCCGATCCCTCCTGACCTTGGCCAACTCTTCTTGTAGCTCCTGCTGCTCCTCTTCTGTCATGCCTGGGGGAGGAGGAGAGGGGCTGACAGACGTCACTGCATCTTCTCCCACCTCAGGGACTGAGACTGGATGTAGCTGGGAACCTGGAGGTCAAATAAGAAAATATTAGATCCATCCGTATTACTCTCTCTGGCGAGTCATGTCTGCTTTGAAGCTGATGTTGGTTGTCAAACCCTGCTCAGCTGACATGCTGTTCCCCTGGAGGACGAGGAGGAGGAAATAAGCTTAAGGAAAGTAAAGGATGCTAAAGTTGCTGTTTGATGATGGGTGGTATCAAAGAGGGAACAGGTTTCATTTCTACCGTACAGCCACACCTCCCCCCTCTCACAGTCATATGTTCACTCCTCACACATACAGTATACAGTGAACACTCATCCTTGATGTAGATGCCCAGTAGGGGCCGCTTTGCATCAATAATACAAAGACTTTTCTAGATGGAGCCATCCTGGGCTCAGACAGCGGGAGAGAGCAGGTGAGGATATAATGGGTCAGAGATGAGCGGGGAATACACACACACAGGGTTCGAGTTATGTGGGAGCCAATGGGAGCTGAGCTCCCAAGGACGCAGTGAAATCATACATCTGTGGGGGTCGCTAATACATTACCAACAACCATTATTTTGATCACAAATAATGCATGTGTCAATGTATTATTTACGTTAACGATATAGGCTAAAAGAAAAACATGTTTTCCAAAAGAACTACGCATCCCTTGAATGACAATATGCCTGCACTGCACTTCCAAGCTGCTCAATACATTATTGCGCAATCTATGCCTGTGAGCGTGCTGCGCGAGCCGAGATGATGTGTGTGTGCGTAGTTGAACCTTTTCATATTTAAGTTTGTAACAAGTAGGGCTGTGTGTGTGTGTGTGTGTGTGGGTGTGTTTGAGTGTGTGTGTGCATGTGCGTGCGTGCGCGCGCATTAGTTAAAAAAAAAAACCATAGAGCTCAGTTTATAACTCGAACCCTGCACACACATGCCTCTGGAGTCCATTTCTTCTTATCTGCTCTTTCTTTATCATTTTAAATATTCACTGTTAAAGTAAAAATGTAGAAATAAAGTCAGAAATAGGAAAGTATATGAATAAAGGGGAAACCCTGGAGTTGAATAAATCATTGTGGGGGGAATTAGAAAAAAGGAACTGCTAGAGAAAAGAACTAGGACTCTACTGTGCTATTACCAGATGCAGTACAGCCTGATGTACGGCCAAAAGACTTGAAAGTACATTTCATTAAACCCTTGACCTTGTAAATGTAATTTAACTTTTGAAACCACAAGTAACATGATACTAGCAAGAACATTTGGATTGTTCCTTTGAATACCGTAGGGCGCTAAATAACATTGTTTCATTTGCCTACAAAAACATATTTTTCTGCATTTGTCTGGTCATTTTAGTTGGTTAATCATCATTTTTTGTAATTAGCTGTATGCTTGTTCACTTTCTTGCCAAGAGTTAGAAAGAAGATTGATAACACTCTCGTGTATGTCTGTAAAATATGTTAGGCTACCAGCCAGCCGATGGTTAGCAAAGGTTAGCAATACGAGTGGAAATGGGTTAAGGCAGTGGTTCTCAAAGTTTTTCTGTCAGGCCCCCCCTTTGGAGAAAAAGTCGGGCCCCCCCCAACACAAATAGTCAGGCTCAGTGGCGGCGCCAGAGATTTATTTTGGGGGTGCTGTGGGGTAGCTTGACGTTTCATAGAGGGTGCTCAAACATTTAGGGTTTCCCATTAATGTACCGGGCGCTACAGTGGAATTTTCTACTGCAACACTCCCCGCGCAAATACACAGTGTGACAGTTACAATGAAGGCTCGAGGCATATAGGTGTAAGCAGGGGTAAAGTGCTATTTTTATAGGTGGTGTGTGGACCTCACATAGGGGGGGGGCACCCCCGGGAAGATTTATTTTTAAATATTGAAGTTAAATGCATCAATCTGGTGCACTTTGAGAGAAAAATGAAGAGATCTATGGATACCTCTCTCTTCACCCATATGAAACAGAACTGTAAACATATTTACTTTTTCTTTATGGATATTTTACAAATCACCCTTTTAAACTTTATTCTTTTTTTACTGTCATAGTATTTCATACCTGTTTTTCATTTATTCTCTTATTTTTTTATATCTATAATGATCATATAAACGTGTGCCTCGGAAATAATTGTTTACATTAATGGTGACCAAAACGTTTGAGACCCACTGAGATAACTTAGACTAAAGTTAACTTTCTAAACACTCAGAGTCCTGTAGTTCACTGAGTCTCTCAGTCTGACAGGAAAGGACTCTCCTCCACCTTGTTGTTGAAAAAACTACTTATATCCGTTAGCGTAGCTCACTAGCACCAGAAGCTAACAACTACGATCTCCGGTACCGGTGCTCTCTCTCTCTCTCTCGCTCGCTCACGCACACAAAATGGCTCGTTCCACACAAACACAGAGCCGAGCTTTAATGAAACACAGAGACCCAGACGTAATAGTAATGTATCATATTATTTTCGAATCAATAATTTTTTTTATTATGATTTTTTGTTGTTGTTGTAATAACTATTTTTCCTCCTGGTCTCTCGCACCCCCCATGTCATGCCTCTGCGCCCCCCACTTTGGGAACCACTGGGTTAAGGTAACAACATCTTCATACAAGGAGACGTATAAGATAAACAGCAGTAACAAAATATTAGGATGTAAAGCAGTTTTTCACAGCCCTCCATGATTACAAATGTCAGTGTGCTCTATCCATCCTATGATCCTTCACTGTTTATTACTTTTTTCCCCCCTTAACAAAACCCTATATAATCTTCTCCAATCCTCCATCTCACTCCTCATTGGAAACACCCTTTCTCCATTTGATATCACTCCTCAAAACACCCAGTTCTATAACTGAGACAGAAATACCAGAAGCTAAATGATATTTCCACAAAGAATACAGAGACATTTCCTCACAGCAAACAGGATCTTAGGACTGGGCTGTGCCATTACTCGCTCCAACATTAATTAATACCGTGGGAATACGAAGTGATGATTAAATATGTCTCAAGTGAAAACATTTACAAGTTAAAACATGCATGGGACCTGACTACAAATCAGTAAATCGTTTACAGAGGAAATAGAGATGGGCATTACTGTTTAATTAACAGAGGGATGAAAACCCCCAACCCACCCCCCGCTGTTCCTCTGAAGCATCACACATCATCTGCCCTCAAACCCTCATATCTCTTTCTCATGTCTTACATTTGCCCTCTCCTCCCATCACTGATGATACAGCAGAGGCTTTACACACACACCTAATGAACAGACGCACATTCAGTGACTCAATTATGTCATTCACTTTCCATCTGTCCTCTTTTACTTAAAAAACAAAAACAGTTTTATCGGTGTACACCTTTCTGAATACCTCCAATTTACAATGTTGAAATATATTTCTTCAGGCAGCAATGCAAGATCTGTATGTGCGAGTGTGGAGGTAGCTGAGCAGCAAATGTACGCCGTGTAGGTTTGAGATCAATTAATGGAAAACAGTCTGACCTGTTGATCCAACAAAAGGGTGTACCCCAAGGATCAACTCTGGGCCCACTTCTGTTCTCTATTTACATAAATGATTTATCTTCTTGTCTCATTAATTGTTGTACTCACCTTTATGCTGATGACACTGTCATATATACATCCAAATCAGATTTTTCACAAATTCAGATCTCTCTCCAATCGGAATTTAATATCTTACAGGACTGGCTATCACACAATAAACTACTGCTTAACAAAACAAAATCTTATACCATGGTCTTTGGTACCAGGCAGAAGCTCAAATCCAAACCTAATGTAGTAATAACATGTAAGGATGGCACTTCTCTGCATAAAGTTGATAGCTTTAAATATCTTGGTGTATGGCTAGACTCTGAACTTTCATTTAAACTACATATAAAGCATGTAATACAAAAAGTCAATTACGGAATCAGTGTTTTACACCGCTCTCGCAATTGTTTTACGCTCAGTGTCCGAAAGAGAATTGCTTCTCAACTTATTCTTCCGATTATGGACTATTGTGATGTTGTCTACCAAAATGCACATAAATCAGATCTTGCTCCACTCAACATAGCCTACAACAGACTATGCAGATTTGTTCTTGGTTGTCCTTTTCGTACACATCACTGCACAATGTATAACCAACTTAAATGGCCTTCTTTAAATGTAAGAAGACACATGCATTGGCTTCAGCTGATATTTAAATGCATTTATCTTAACTATCCCCCTTATTTAAAGCAGTATTTTGTACCCTACTCACCAATTCATCAAGTTAGACATTCTGTTCAGATGTATTTCTCTGTCCCCTCTGCAAAAAAATTGATTGGCAGAAGAGCGTTCATGTTTAAAGCCCCAACTGACTGGAATATTTTACCTGCTGCTATTAGATCTCTTGCATCATTGGGTATATTTAAACATGCATTGTTATCTCACTTTCAACTGGTCTGTACTTGTTATAACTGATATTGATGAAACTGATTTGCTTGACTGTCTCAAATTGTAATGATTGCGTGCATTGCTTGAATTTCACTTAACAGACTGTATGTGGTTTGTCTTGTGTGTCATGTTTTGCATTTTGTCTTTTTGTTTATGTATGTCTGTAAGTTTTTGCTATTGTCGGGACCCCCTTGAAAACGACATGGTGCATCTCAAGGGGTTTATCCCAATCAATAACATTTCTATATCAAAGCAGACACACGATGAGATAGGAAGAGGGTAACAACTAATGAGAAATAAACTTAAAGCTATAAAGCTGTCTGAACGAAAGATTTGACAAACTGTCAGCACATGCAAGTTACAAGCTCTTGGGTCTATTCATAATTAGTAGTTTGTAATTGTGACTTTTGACACTAATAAGCAGCTTTAAGAAATGTGGAATGGTTTGCCCTCGATTCCATGCTGTATTTCTGATCATTAAAGTGGTCTATAATACAGTCTATTCAAATAATGTATGAATAGATTGAGTTAAGAAAGTCAAATCAAAAATATAAACATGATCCGATTTCCTCCATATTACCTCCATACTCAATTACAAAGACACAAACATCTATTTGACTGATTGAGTCGGCA